GTGTCCATGTTGATCGTTTACAGCCCCCCCAGTGTCCATGTTGATCGTATACAGCCCCCCCCCCCCCCAGTGTCCATGTTGATCGTATACACCCCCCCCCCCAGTGTCCATTTGATCGTATACAGCCCCCCCAGTGTCCATGTTGATCGTATACAGCCCCCCCCCAGTGTCCATGTTGATCGTATACAGCCCCCCCCCCAGTGTCCATGTTGATCGTTTACAGCCCCCCCCAGTGTCCATGTTGATCGTTTACAGCCCCCCCCAGTGTCCATGTTGATCGTTTACAGCCCCCCCCCAGTGTCCATGTTGATCGTTTACAGCCCCCCCCCAGTGTCCATGTTGATCGTTTACAGCCCCCCCCAGTGTCCATGTTGATCGTATACAGCCCCCCCCCAGTGTCCATGTTGATCGTATACAGCCCCCCCCCCAGTGTCCATGTTGATCGTATACAGCCCCCCCCAGTGTCCATGTTGATCGTATACAGCCCCCCCCAGTGTCCATGTTGATCGTATACAGCCCCCCCCCAGTGTCCATGTTGATCGTATACAGCCCCCCCCCCAGTGTCCATGTTGATCGTATACAGCCCCCCCCCCAGTGTCCATTTGTCCTCCTCAGCAGGTCTTCTGGATGAACTGGTTTTGTTTTGTCCTCCTCAGCAGGTCTTCTGGATCTCCGAGGAGCAGGAGCAGTGACTCTCCTCGTCTCCGGGGGAAAGACTCTCCTCGTCTGAGAGGAAGAGAGTCTCCTCGATCCAAAGCCAAGAAGAACCGCTCCAAAGGGAGCGACTCGCCTCGCTCCAGAGGATCTCACTCACCAGCAGCTAAAGACTCCCCCCGTCTGACTGGCTCCCCCCGTCTGACTGGCTCCCCCCGTCTGACTGGCTCCCCCTGTCTGACCAGCTCCCCCTGGACCAGGAGCTCAGACGCTGTCCCCTTAATGAAGGGATCCTGCAGCTTGTCTGGTCCCTCCAGAGAGGACGGCTCTCCTGGACCTGAGTCTCCAGCGAGCGTCAGAGGATCAGACTCTCCTCGCCCGGGCAGAGAGTCCTCTTGTCCCAGTTTATCTGGATCCTTTGAAACCACACAGCTCCCCCCCTCGCCCCCCTCCCTCCTGTCAGAGGACGATGTGGAGAAGAGGCGTGCAGAGGCAGAGCGCCTCCTGGAGGAGGCCGTGTCCTCGTGGAAGGAGGCGCAGGAAGTCCTCCAGGAGGTGAAGGAGCTGCAGAGCCAGACTCTGAGGAGGCAGCGCAGGAGGACCTACGAGAAGATGACAGTAACAGCTGCAGCCCCTCCCTCGCCAGCTGATGAGGACGACACGCCCACGTCTCCCACATCGCCTGAGGACGAGGACGAGTCGGAGACGCCGTGACCACAAACTCCTTTTTCATATCTGACTTCTTAATGAAAGTAGCAGCGTGTTGAGCTGGCAGGATTTGGAGCTTTTTGGACTTTTTAATTCTATTTCTAAAATCTTTTCATCTTTTAATCCAGGTATGAGGGAGCAGAACACTACGCAAAGAGGATTACTCAGAAACCAGAGATCCATTTCTTCCCAGGAGCTTTAAGGACTCTAATCCTGCTCAGAGAGAGAGAGAGAGAGAGGTGCTCCCTCTGATGGTGCTGCACGCTCTTCTTCTTCTTCTCCTCCTCCTCCTCCTCCTTCTTCTCCTTCTTCTCCTCCTCCTCCTCCTCCTTCTTCTTCTCCTTCTTCTCCTCCTCCTCCTCCTCCTTCTTCTTCTCCTTCTTCTCCTCCTCCTCCTCCTTCTTCTTCTCCTTCTTCTCCTCCTCCTCCTCCTCCTTCTTCTTCTCCTTCTTCTCCTCCTCCTCCTCCTCCTTCTTCTTCTCCTTCTTCTCCTCCTCCTCCTCCTCCTTCTTCTCCTCCTCTTCTTCTTCTTCTCCTCTTCTTTTCTTCTTCTTCTTCTTCTTCTTCTTCTCCTCTTCTTCTTCTTTTTCTTCTTCTCCTCCTCCTCCTCCTCCTCCTCCTTCTTCTCCTTCTTCTTCTTCTTCTTCTCCTCCTCCTCCTTCTTCTCCTTCTCCTCTTCTTTTCTTCTTCTTCTTCTCCTCTTCTTTTCTTCTTCTTCTCCTCTTCTTTTCTTCTTCTCCTCTTCTTTTCTTCTTCCTCATCTTCCTTCAACACTTTTTAAAGATGTCAACATTTTATAAAGATGAGAAACTTTTTCAAGCTGACGAATCACAGAGGCGCTAACTGCACTATGTTTCCTACGGGTCACGGGGGGGGGGGGGGGGGGGGGTCTGCACTAAAGGGGACTTTATGCACCATGAGTTTACACACCTCTTTCCTGATGTCTTTGCCGAACTGTCTTTAGTTTGGATGTGGGCGGCAGCTCCTTGAAGCTCGCTGTGTTGAAGATTTCAAACTTTGTAAGAGTGAGTTTAAAAAGATAAAATCAGGGAGTTTAACGTTCCACAAAACCAGCAGAGAAGAAGCAATAAGGAGTTTTTATAATGTTCATGCTCCTCCGTGCAATAATGTGACTCCCACACTTCCTGTGCGATGAAATATTTAAGTGAGGCTGTAAAAAACAAAGCTCACTAACCTCATTATGTCAGCAGAGATGTTCTCCTGATCTCTCTGCAGACGCTCTGATTCACTCTGTTAGCGCCCCCTGTCTGTGAGGCTGACTTACTGATCACTTAAACACAAAGTGAGAGCAACATTTAACCCTTTGTGTGTTTGTGAATCAGACGATGTTAGAGGGCGCTATACGCCGCGTGACCCTCACTTTCCTGTGAATCAAAATTTACATAAAGTCAGCGACACATTTCACTCTGTTCACCGTATTTATAACCTTCATTTGAATAATTAGACGATCCAGTAAAGAGATGTATGCACTGTAAAACAGATCAGCTTTAATGAACGGGTTCAAAATGGCCGACATGAAGAGCTCTAATCTTTCCGTAACGTGACACGTGTTTGTGTGTTTGTGGTCTCTGACCTTTAACTCTTCCTGTTCGTCACTTTTTAACTTCCTGCACGTTCCTCTATGACCTTCAGATTAACTGACACATTGTCCTGTGATGATTTTCAAAATAAAAGATATTTATTGATCTGAATCGTTTTAACACTTCTTCTCAGTTCACTCTCTGAAATGTCTTTGTTGATGTTTTTTAAATAATGTTTGAATTTCTGTATACAGCAATGCATTGTGGGTAAATGGAGCCAAAAAAATAACCCAGTTAGTTTTCTATTTGGTGCATCGACACCTCGTCTTCACGTGCAGAATAAAATAAAGAAACAGGAAGTGCAGCGAGATGATGTCACCGTGTCTTTACTGTCAATGCGTTTTTATTATGGACCAGTAGGTTATACTTTCACTCTGTAAACTCTCAATTCTTAAGGTACTGTCTCTTTAAGGCCCGCCTCCCTACAAGCCCACTCTCCTCTGATTGGCCAGCTCTCCTGTGTCATCAGCTTTGTCTTCAGTCCTCACCAAACCTGCCGTGTAAACTAGTTAGTCTACAACTTGGGTTATGTTATTGTTTGGTTACCACGGAGACGTAAGGTTCATCTTGTTTGGTTACCATGGAGACGTAAGGTTCATCTTGTTTGGTTACCATGGAGACGTAAGGTTCATCTTGTTTGGTTACCATGGAGACGTAAGGTTCATCTTGTTTGGTTACCACGGAGACATAAGGTTCATCTTCTATGGTTACCATGGAGACGTAAGGTTCATCTTGACTAGCAGAGCGTAACATCAAAACTAACCAAAACTTAGTGTCAGAAATGAGGTTTGAACTTGATGTGACCAATCAGAGAGCAGCGTTTGTCTCTCGTGTCTGATGGTCTTTAAATGTGACCAATCAGAGAGCAGCGTTTGTCTCCTCGTGTCTGATGGTCTTTAAATGTGACCAATCAGAGAGCAGCGTTTGTCTCCTCGTGTCTGATCGTCTAAAATAACTTCTGTTCACTGACGATCGTCCACAAACTCTAATGTTTGTACGAGCTGATGAGGGGAGAACTGAAGCTAGAGATCAATAACTACAGGGACATCTAGTGGTGACACCTGTAACTACAACTTGAAGTAATTTAACAGAGGGCGTAACATCTACTAGGAGCTAGGTGTCAGATGATAGGTGTAACGTCTGCCTACGTTGGAGCGATCTCAGCTGGTGACACACCTGAAGTAAAGTAAGGAGCTTCCTGTCGATGGAAGGTTAGGACAGGAAGTTAAGCACAGAAACAGGAAGTGGTTAGGGATCCCAAAGTGAGGTCAAACAGCTCAAAGGAACGGTAACAAAGGTCAATGTGTGATGTCATCAGGTGGATATTACTGTGTGAGAGTTTGTTAAAGTGAAATGAGACGTTCAAAGATGCAGTACTGAGACTACAGGGAGACACTGAGGACGAGTATCTACGGAGAGCCTGAAGGGACAAACATGAGGTTAATGTGATTAAAGAATGCATTGTTTAAAGCAATGTAACTGTTACTACCCATATACTCCAACACGTCCTTTACTGTGGGATAGATAAAGAACAATGCATCCACTAGAGGGCGCTGTCTCTCACCTCCTCTTCTTATTCTCTGTCGTCCAGCTGACCTTCAGCTCCTGTCCAATCCCAGCCCTGCTGACCTTCAGCTCCTGTCCAATCCCAGCCCTGCTGACCTTCAGCTCCTGTCCAATCCCAGCCCAGCTGACCTTCAGCTCCTGTCCAATCCCAGCCCTGCTGACCTTCAGCTCCTGTCCAATCCCAGCCCTGCTGACCTTCAGCTCCTGTCCAATCCCAGCCCAGCTGACCTTCAGCTCCTGTCCAATCCCAGCCCTGCTGACCTTCAGCTCCTGTCCAATCCCAGCCCAGCGGTGAGCTAATTATAAATGTTTATATTTCATAACAAACTCTCAATACTGCCCCCGTCTTTTTCCAGTGGTACTGCGACGTTTGGTCTGAAATACCAACAAAGTGACCGCAGAGTACGGACAGAAGCCTCGGTGTACCGGTATGAACATGGAGCACAAACAAGCTTTAGGAGTGAAGAGACGATCTGAGCAGAAAAAAAACATCGATGAATAAAAAAGACGAGTGCATGAAGTTCAGATTAGGACGGAAATCGTACTTCCTGATTCTCATTATAAGATCCTAGCATCCAGCTGCCCTATTGGCCGACCGCCCAGAGTGAGATTTATCAGTTATTGAGCGCACACACACACACACACACACACACACACACACACACACACACACACAGGTCAGTGAGCTGTAATGCAGAGCAGAGCAGATGTAGGGCAGGACAAACAGCAACGCTCCATTACACAGCTCCACCTCCACACACACACAATCACACAGCGTGTGTGTGTGTGTGTGTGTGCCTGTAATGCATCAGTGCGTGTGTAATTGTGTATGCATGTGTGAGCTTTTCTTGATGACTAATCTGATAACATTATGCATGCCGTGTTTGCGTGTCGGCTCATAAAACAGTGAAAACAGTCTTAAAGGAGCAGTACGACTTTTTAAAATGACACATCGATCTCTGTCTGCACCGGTCCAGGACGGGTTAGCCTAGCTTAGCCCACAGAGGAAGGGGGAAACTTTAAGAGGAGCTCCAACAAAAGAAAAAGAAATGAACCCGTCACCAGCCCAGTTTATGAGATCATTTATCAGCTGTTCTCTTAGCTTAGCATTGTGCTAACATAACAATATCTACAGGAAGGCTTTCAGCTGCTCATCAAGATCGTACACCGACTGAGTCCAGAAACATCTGATAACACTAAACGCACCTTCAAATTTAAAGGAGCAGTATGTAACTCTGCCCCCTAGTGTTTAAAATGGGTACTGCAGTCTAAATTCTAAACATCATAGAGAGCTGTCCCCCCCCCTCCTCTCTAGAGTGGATGCTCACTCAGGTCACCATGTGGTGGACTCTGAAGCTTCAGTGTTTATCCAGCTCTGCATGGGTCTGTAAACCTTTCTGTGTTCTAACCTCTCTCCATTTTTCAAAAGCATCTCCAATATTGATCCTAGTTTGAGCACGTTTCTGCTCGTGGAGCTTATTAGAAACATGCAGAGGCTTTTTAGGTCGGGTACAATCACTTCTATCTGAACCACTTCTCTTGACCGCTTCCATCGCTGCAACACCTGTTGACCTGATAACTGCTCTCATATCATCGCCTGTTGACTTGGCGTGCTCAGCAGTACCCGTGTGTCGACGGGCTGAACATGTACGTGTGGCCTCGATCTTATCCAAACCTCACCACCTCAAAGCGAGCGTGCTGCAGCTCAGCAGGTCATGTGACGTCATGTCTCTGTCAGGTCGTCATCCCAGATCTCCGTTTGAAATGGAACAAAAACACTGACAGCAGACAAAATAAACCCGATGTGTGTGTGTGTGTGTGTGTGTGTGTGTGTGTGTGTGTGTAGGTGTGTGTAGGTGTGTGTAGGTGTGTGTGTGTGTGTTAACTGGGTTATTTACTAAGATAAAAACAGGAGCTGATTCGTTGATTCATGTTCACATCTGAGTCTGATAAATAATTTAGACTGATTCACTGTGTGTGTGTGTGTGTGTGTGTGTGTGTGTGTGTGTGTGTGTCTGTTTTAGGTATTCTCCTCATGTGTGAGGGAGAATTACATTTATTATTAACACACACGGGCACTCTGAGATTCGGTGTGCTTCAGGTCAGTGTTACAGTTTGTTCTCATTTAAAACAGCTGGGATTAGAGACTAGTGTGTGTGTGTGTGTGTGTGT